CAAGGCTGGACAAGCCTACCTGCGGACATCTGTTGATTCCAGACTGTTGATTCACTTCCAAGCCCTAGTGTCAGAGATAAATTGGAGAACTGGACTCCATGGTACTGGGCAAGGCCCCAGGGCATTCTGTGCACCCAGTGAAGTGTTCACTGGATGCAAATTTAGTCTAACTGAAAATACTTTGAAGATATAGCCACCTTGAAAGCAAGAAATATTTTGACTTTGTAATCTATAAAGGGAAGGGGATATGTTTAATGTGTCGTATACTGATTAATAACACTGCTAATGTATGCTACCACCATGTGGGTATAAAAATAACAAAAAGATTGAAGAGGGCAGAACAACTCTCTGAGGCGATATCTTCGCTGTTCTCTGGGATTTCTGGCTTTTCTGTAAATAAAAGTGGAATTATTGATCTCTTAACCACTTCTCCATTGATAGTCTTAGGTGACAGGCAGATGGACTCTGTGTTCCAGCAACAGAAGGATAACTTAAACCCAGGAGTTTGAAGTTGCCATGAGCTAGGCTGACTCCACCCACACTAGCCTGAGACAACAGAGTAAGACTCTGCCTCAAAAGCAAAAATAGAGAGAGGGGAAAGAAAGAAAAGAAAGGAAGGGAGAGAGGGAGGAAGAAAAGGGAAGGGAAGGGAAGGGAAGGGAAGGGAGGAAAGGGAAGGGAAGGGAGGAAGGAGGGAAGGAAGAAAGGAAGAAAGGAAGGAAGAAAAGAAAGACGCCCCAGAGTGCTAGCTCCCTTACCCCTTCTACTGTATGAATGGTTAGTAAACAACCAGCCATCTGTAAACCAGGAAGCAGGCCTCACCAGACATGAAATCTTATACTTTCTAGTCTCCAGAACAGTGAGATACCAAGTCATGGGAATGGAGCCCTCATGAATGGGATTAGTACCCTTAGAAAAGAGGCCCCAGGCTGGGCACAGTGGCTCACACCTATAAGGCTAGCACTCTGGGAGGCCGAGGCTAGAGGATCCCTTGAGCTCAGGAGTTCAGTTCCAGACCAGCCTAAGCAAAAGTGCAATCCTATCCCTCTATTAAAACTAGAAAAATTAGCCACCCAGTCAATGGTATTCTTTACAACAGCCCAAATGGACTAAGGCAAGGGTTTTAGACACACACACACACACACACACACACACTCAAATACATATACATTCAAAAATTGATAACCATTAAGGGATTTTTTTCGGAAGACACTGATAGCTTTTGTTCCTCATGATAAGCCTGACCACTGATAATGCACAATTGCCAGTTACTCTGTGATCTGCCTCTTTTCTCTCTTTTTTTACCCATCGCTTTCTTTCATTCATTTACTGAAGATTTTGAAGAACTTGGCTTCTAGTCTCTTTATTACCAGATGTCCTGATATCCTCCAGGTCGATCTCAATATGCACACAGACAGTACCTCCAACACCCGGATCTCTGTGTTCTAGAACCTTCTCCACTTCCAAGATGGGTAAGAACAGTCCCATGGCAATTCCATTTCCTATCACCCTGCCAGCTTCAATGTCATCGAACCTTTTCTTTCCTACTTCCTACTTGCTGCTCTCAGCCTTTCTCCAGACAAATTTAAAGGTACTCAAGTATCTTCTGTATTTAAAGAGGGAAAGTTTTGCGCTTCCTAGTCCCTGTAATGATTATTCTAAGTTTTGCTGGTCCCCGTCCCCACCAGTTAAGGAGCTTACACCCTCTTCCACCTTGTGTGTGCTTCCTCTTCTGCCACTTACTTCTCTCCCCAGAGCTTATTTTGACCCCCAAGTTTACATCATAAGCAACTTTTTCCTCTTACTCTACAGCTCACCCAAGAAAAGTCACAGACGCCAATGACTTCAGCTGCCATTTATATTTTGATGTTTCCTAAATCTGTTTTTCTAAACCAAGGCTTTCCAAGCTTTCTATCTGTATATTCAACAGTCTGCTGAAGCAGCATCTCCACTTGTTTAACCTAAAAAACCTCAAACCTGGACTGTTCACACCTAAATTTATCTTTTGTGCTCCAAAATTATTTCTCCTAGTCTGTTCAAAAGTGAAGGGCCTCACCAGCCATGCAGTTATACAAACCTGGGATATAATTCCTGCCTAATCCCGTCTCGTTATTTACCAGAGTCAGTCACTAATGCTGTCAATTAAAATTATTAAATTAACAAATTTATTAACTTTTCTCCATCCTCATTGTTGGTAACTTATTTCAGGTCGCCCTTACCTCTCACTCAGATCAGATTTATTTAGTTATTTATTACTTACGGATTAAACACGTACTATGTACCACTTTTCTGGGCACTCGGGATATGCCAACAAATAAATACATGCAAAGATCTTCTCCCTCATGGAGGTTCCTTTGTACCAGGTCAAGTGAGCATAATAAAAAAAGTAATTATGCAGTATTTCAGAAAGTGAAAAGTACTATTGCAAATAAAGAAGCCAAACAGAGAAAGGGGAGCCCTAAGAGGTGGGGGTGAAGCCGTTTCTCGTATTAATGAAGAAGATGACATCAGAGCAAAGACTTGAAGGAAGTCGCAGAGTTAGCTACGTGAAAACCTGGAGTAAGAGCAGACTGAGGAATCAGCCACAGCGAGTGTCCTGAGCCAGTGTCAGTGGGTTTCTCTGCCCTTTACTTAAAAAAGCCTGAATGAAACTCTGTGCCAAAGAGTCTGGCCAGTGCCGTGCCACATGAGGAGCCACTGAAGGTAGTTAGGGTACTGTATTCACATTTTCATTTAGAAATATAATTTCCGATTCTTGAACCCAAAGAGGATGTCTTGTATTCCTGCATCCCTTAGGCCAGTAGCGGACACACAATTATACTCATCAAATGTGTGTTGAATGAATGCTAAGAGCCCTCGGAGGCTGGAGGTAGGAAAATGAAGACCAATTCAGCCCCTAAAGTGATAAGAAATCACGAAGGACTAGACTAGAGAAAGACGAGGGGATGGAGAGGAAAGGATAGATTTGAGAGATATTTAGGAAGCAGGCTGTATACCACTCAGTAGCTGATAGCTCGTGGAGCATTTTGGCTGGACAGACTCCATGGGCTGTCAAAACAGTTATGATCAGTGAGATGAGACAGAGGGCATTTGTTTCCATTTGATTCTATATGTTTTGTTTTGTTTTTGCCACAGCTTGGTGGTGAGAGAGATGGTGCATTCAGTGTGCATTTCTCTGCCTTGGTAGGGCTAATGGAAGACTTAGATGGAGCTGTTGAATAAACAGCACACATGCAAGTGGGGCTGGGAAGAGATTTCATCTCTGGAAGCATGTAGGCAGGGATTCTCAAACTTTGGCATGCATGAGAATCAGTTGGGGCCGTAAAGAAAGACGAAGACTTCGCATCTTTTGTGTTTACCCTAGAAGGATTTGGAGAACGTCCTCCTAAGTCAAGTATCACAAGAATTAGAAAAGCAAGCATCCAGTGTACTCAGTATTAAAATGAACAGCTACAGGCTCACTTGCAACAAAAACACATTTAAATTCAGGAAGGGTGGGAGAGGAAGGGGGTGGGAGGTGTAGTAAGCGCTCACCTGTCGGGTAAAAAAGTAAAATAAAATTTCCATTAAGAAAGCTGGGGCCTTCATTAATACTTCATACTCTTGGGCTCAACCTCAGAGATTATAGCAGTTCTGGAGTAGAGCTCAGGGGTCCGCGTTTTACACACACAGGTGTTCCAAAACAGAAGACCCCAGACCTCACTTTAAGAAACCCTACTATTGGTAGTGCATGGGACCTGAGCACATAAATTAAAAATTAAACGCCTAGAAGGGAAGAGGCACAAAAAGAGAAATCTAGAGGACATCTATTTACAGAGAGGACCCAGAATAAGAAACCTCTGAGCTGTGGCCTGAGAGCTCCTTTACCACTTCCTATTACTGAATCAGGCGTCCTCAAACTACAGCCCGCGGGCCACATGCAGCCTGCCTAGGACATTTATCTGGCCAGCCAGGTGTTTTTGCCACCGCTGCCTGTCCTGCTTAGCAGCCAACTCGTCCCAGGGCCCGCAGTCCAGCCCTCCAGTGGTCTGAGGGACAGTGAACTGGCCCCCTGTTTGAAAACTTTGAGGACCCCTGGTCTGAATTTTCTAGGCTTGCGATGTTTTTCATTGGAAGCTTGGAAATAGGACTACATTAGAAAAAGGTGAGAGAGACGCTTTTAAGCTATTTGGGTTCAAATTTGAAAGGGCCACTAATGGCTAAAGTAGGGAATTTGTTCTTTGTGCCAGTTATAGGTGAATGCCCGTTCAGTAAAAGTCTGGGATTAGGGCCAGATGATAACGCAAGCCGAATTTTCAAAAGATTATTTTTGTACTACCTGGTTGGGAGGAAGGGAAGCTGGGAGCAAGGTCAGTGAAGAGAGACTTCAGAAAGGGAAGAACCAAAAAACGCTAACGGAACTTCTCAGAGAGTAAGAAAACCCCTCTGAGGAAGGCAGATGACTGAAAGAGAAATTGGATTTGTTGAGCGTCTCGGAGGCCAAGGGGGGAGAGACTTTGGCGGTGTGATGGTGAGCAGTGCAGAGAAGGCTGCAAGTCC